AGCAGCGCAACATATGCAAGGCAACGTGGCAACCGATGTTTTCCACTTCAGCACATCAGAGGTGTCCCTGCATCAGTCGCCCTAAAGGTACCCGTTTACAAAGTGATAGGGCTTAGGGTTTTTAACTCGGGGCGAGGGGCAGATTTGAAACCCCCTCTGCTGCCAAGCACATGGACGGTTGCTGATTAGAAGAGGGTTGGCAGCAGTGGGCAGATGCCAGGCGGGGAGAGAGATGACGGCCTGTCGCCAGTCTGCCACCCAACCCCTCTCGTCCCCGCGGTCGCCCCCCCTCCCTCCCCTACTCACCCCCCTCCCTGTTGTACAAAAAAAGACCAAAGACATTTCCGCGACAAACCCGAAAAGGGGGGGAGGGGATGGATTGTAGTAGCGCTTTGTATCAAAATGCAGCAAATGTGACAATGTTGTCAGACGGAAATGTGAAGACATGTAGTGCGACGTGTCGTCATTTTTTTGGGTGACTGATCTGAGGAGTTTTTAGGAGTTGTTTTGATCACATGAGACTGACAATAACACAGCCTAACTACCTAAGTCGCACAATGAAAGATCACAATGCAGTTTTTCTCCTTCCCTCTGCAAACCCACGCACAACACACACACACACACACACACACACACACACACACACACACACACACACACACACACACACTCAAGTTTGGGATGCTGAACATTCTTCTGCAGCCTACAGAGGATAAGAGCTCTTTGGGTGTTTTTGAAAATTCAGCAGAGTTACATTATCATGTGGTTGAGTATAATACACTGCACCTAACTGGTACAGTATCGGGGACGTTGTCCAGCAGAGATGAGTGCAACACCCCACTCAATATGAAACCACTAGGATCACCCCTCGGCTACAGGGAGACAGACCACGAGACAAGAATTGCTTTTCAAGGTGGACAAACTCAATGTAGCAGTCTAATAAGTCACAGCGAGGTGGAGGAGGAGGTGGTTACTGTGAACAATAGCCAGACTCCGGCTTTAATCATGCTGCTGTATTCCAAACCATATTGATTTCAGACCAGCTCAATATGACGACATAACTGGTCCATTCCGCTGCTCCACCGCCGCACTGTTAGTCTTTCACCTACAGCCATGTATAGTTAAGGTGATAGACAGACACACGTGCGTTTACACTTTCACACCAGCTCCGCCCCGCCCTGCCCCCGAACGCACCCGGAAAGTAAACACACAACACCAAATACTGCTCTGCTGCAGAAGTCATACAAGTTATTTCAATGTGAAAGGTCCACAGCTACAAACGTGTGTTAAAAACCAGGAAACGTTTTTTTTTATTCATGTACATAAAAACAAAGGCTGTGACATCGAACCTATTCTGAGCGATTAACACTAAAACACAACGCAAGCAACTCTGCCAGTTCTAAATTATTCAATGGTAAATTCTGTTGGGAGAGTATGAGAAATCAATAGCTGTTTCCTTCCCTCATGAAGGATGTCATTTTTCATTAAGGGACTGCATCTGTATGAAGTTATCATCAGTGAGCGGGAGCAGAGAAACCATACGTCCGTTGAGAAATCACGTTTCTACATCCCAGAATCACTTACATGGAAAAGTGTAATTTTCAACAAATGTTAAGTGTGTATTTATTTTTTCAAAAATTATAAAAACAAGCCAGAGCCAAATTAACTGTTCTTTTAATTGTGTATTTATTATGAGGCCTTCAAACTAAAAAAGAAGATAGACAGCTAATTTTTATTATTTTTCTTTGTATGGTTATGGAGCTGAATGTTTTTCACTAGTCTTTTAATTTCATAAGGTGCAATTGCTCTCAAACATTCAACCTCTTTAAATACTGAGACAACAAAACTAAATGTAATTTGTATAAGTCATCACTGTGTCTCTCAACATCACAAAAAAAGAAAATATCATACCATAGCCATTTTATATGCAAGGTAGAAAGTTATGACGATAAGGTTATATGAAAGAAGATGTATCTGTTTATCTCTACATCTATTTTCCTTGTGTGTGACAATCTCTTTCTGATTCAATGCTATACTGCCTCTGCACTTTCTATACTGTCTGCCTCTCTGTCTGTCTGTCTCTCTCTCTGTCTGTCTGTCTATCTCCCTGTCTCTCTCTCTCTCTGCCTGTCTGTCTGTCTGCCTTGTCTTCCTGACTGTCTCTCTGTATGCCTGTCTGTCAACCTCCTCTCTCTTCTGTCTCCTATAGCCTCCATCAGCCTGGGACTAAAATATATTAAGTGCTTCAACCTTTTTGAAACCGAGACCTGGAATGTACTAGTGTGGAGTTCAACGCACACACACACACACAC